AGGAGCCCGCCTGGAGAATGGAGGTGTTATATTTTTAAGAAATTGTTGAAGTCAGGAGTCCACCCGGAGAGCGAAGGGTTACAACAAAGATCCCCAACATAAATTAAAGTTCAGAAGTTGGAAGGAAGGCAACACTAGTCAGAAAAAGGCGGTTCAAGCTTCGAAGAAAAAATAATTCGAAACTCACAAGAAGGAAATAAGCAGTTCAAATTCGGAAATCAGAAGTAAGACCACAAGTCGAGCCAGAAAGAAAAAAACATCAGAGGAAACACCAATCACCGAGACATCAAAGCAACAAGAGACACAAGAGCACGGTTGAAGATCTAGATAAGATTTTGTAATTCATAGACTATAGTTTAGTCTAGCTTCTTGTTTTCTTTCAGCATGGTGTAATAAGAAGGTCGTAAAGCAGTAATAACAGCATGCAACAACAGTAACAACAACATTGCAGTCTCATGGTAGTCCCAGCTACCAAAACTTTCCGAACAACATTAACCTGATTCCCTTTTAGCCAGGGATATGTAGGAAACCTTCGAAGCAAAGGTTCAGTTAAATCTTTCAAAAATACTTCACAGGGAGTAGTCCAACGGGCAAAAATCGCTCGTATCCGCTCACTTTATCTTTGCACGAAAACTCTTCGTGTTTTTGGACAAAGAGGGGCAGATGTGAGCACGTGATTTTTGTCCTATGAGAAATACTCCCAAAAATTCAAAATAAAACAATTTTCCTTTGTGTGCAGTGTTGAGAATTTTTGTGGCATTTTTGGATAATTATTTGTATTTGTCCATGCATATTTATTTAAATTAATAAAAAATACAAAAATGTTCACACTTGAATTTAGGATTCGATTCTACAATTAGGAGTGATTAAGTTTGTTTTTACAAAAAAAAAATCATAAAAATAATGTACGTTGCATTTTTAGCATTTAATGTCCAAATTGTGTGATTTTATCGTAATTGCTATTTAATTGTGTGTTAATTGTTATTAAGAGTTAATTAGCACTTTTATAAATTAATTTAGTTCTATAGGCTAATTTAGGATTTTTAGAATTTTAGTTTTATTTTAAGAAAAATAAAAGAAGAAAAAGAAGCAATGGAAATAAGAAGAAAATTGGACTGGGCCACCTTTTAAATTAAATCAACCAGGCCCAAACCAAATAACCCCTTATCCAACCCAAAAACCCACCGACCCGGTCCACCCCATAACCCAAGCTAACTACCCCACTTCTATTCTTCATTCCCTAACAACAACAAAACAAAAAAACCCTAAAAAAAAAAGAGAGACGCCCGCCCCCCCTTCTGCTTCATCTTCTCCGTCGTTCACCTCCAGCCAAACCAGCTTTCTCCATCAACGACCACCATCGACGAGCCACCAAAACAAGCTCCAGCCAGTCCGCCATGGCTACTGCTTCTTCTTCTTCAACAGTCACTGCTCAACACACATACACACAGTCCGTTGACCATCTCAAACAGCCCCACCCCTCCATTCCCGTCGACGAACCACCATAACCCAACATCCAGCTCCACCATGACCATGTCCCTCTCCAAACCACCACACCTGAGCTTCGTCTTCAACACCCTCACAACCAGCAGCTCCGTCACACGCACACATACAGTCCGTCGACGAACCACCAAGCCGGCGACGAAACCAACCAGCCTTACCATCGTTACTACCCCAGCTCCCTCACGACCTGAAACAGTCATCTCCCAGGCCGTCTCCAAACACCAGCCATCCGAGGTCATGCTCAGTCATATGTCGAGGCAGTACGTCGAGGTTCTGTTCGAGTCCGTGTCTGTTATTCAAGCGTTGAAACAGTGTTGCGAATGAAGTTGTGTTTCATCGGAAGTTCAACATTGTTCGACGTTGGATCATTAGCATAAAGGTCAGTCATAGTTCGTTCACGGATTTTTTTTGTTTTTTCTTTGGTTTCGTTTTAATATGTGGTTTCATTTTTGATAAAATTTCGCATGATATTCCTACTGCATATTCGTTGAAATTTTGTGTGTGTGCGTTTTGACGACTTTCCTACTGTGAGTTCGATTGGTGCTCAAGTTTAGTGATTGAAATCTACTCGCTTGTTCCGTTAAGTTTGTTCTGATATGAATCTGACTCTGTTGTTAATTCATGAACGTTGTCGATTAGGAGTTTGTTTGGCAAGTTTGTTTATTCAAAGTTTGATTATTAATTGGATAATTGATTAGATGAATCTGGCTTTGTTGAATTGTCTTAATGTCATTGATTGAGAGTTAGTTTCATGCGTTTAAATTAGTCAATTATTAGGATTTCTCAATTAAGATTGGTTATAGCTGCTATAGTTTGGTTAATTGACTTAGGAGGATTGGATATAGCTGAAGGGGTAGAATGGTAATTTCAGTAGCTTCAGGGGCATTTTCGGGATTTTAAGTTTTAAAAAATGATTAATTTGAGTGTTTTGTCCACTAAGTACTAATAATATTAAAATAATACATTGTTTAATACATAGTGGGGGACAAGACATATGGTAATGGGCAATAATGCATTGTTTAATATAGTGGGGGACAAAGCATGCAGTAGTGGAGAATAAGGGAATTAAATAAAGAAAAGACATGTAGTAGTGGGGAACAAGTGAATTAAAAAGAGGACAAAACATATAGTAGTGGGGAACCAGACATGTATTTTCGGATTAATTTAAGTGTTTCAAGGCAGATAAAGTTAATGGAGTTTGGCTATAAATAAGGGGCGCAAAATACAAGAAGAGGGGCTGGTTTTTTAGAGGAGAAAAAAGATTCTGAAAATCTGAAAAGAGTGCTGGAGAGTTTAAAAAGAGGAAAACAAAAAGAAAGAGAAGGTTTTTCATTGCATCCGTAGGAGTAACTCGAATTCGTGACAGTGAACCTGATTCCTTTTTGAATGCTTAATTGGTTCAGTGGTCTACGAGTTCAGTTTTGGATTTAATACACGCGTGGTTGAGTCCGTTTGTGGTGATGTTGGTTGTTGCTGTTTAGTCTTATACAAACTTTTGGGGTTGTTCTATCGAGCTTGTTTGGTTTTCTTCAAATTTTTCTGAGCCTCGAATTTGGTTTGAACTGCTGCTGTTGGGTTGCTGTTGTTTTGCTGTGTTACTATTGTTGTTGACTGCTCCTTCATCTTCTTTTATTTCCATTATCCAGGTACATGTTCTAAAGCTCTCAAATTTAATGGAACGGCAGTAAAGAGTTGTTGGAATGGATTTCTGAATGTCTCTTGTTTCTTTGTGTTTAATTTAATGTATAAGCAGTAGTTCACTTGATATCGCATAGCATGTATTAGAATGACTTTGGAATTCATAAACTGGACTGTTGAATCTATTTCTACAAATATGTAAATATCAATTGTAATTAATCTTAGTTTGTGATTACTAGTTATGAAATATAGTGTAGTTAATTCTTTTTTTCAGTAGTCGTGTAATAATTTCAAATAGGTTATGCCACGAAACAGGTTCAAATAGTTCATGGAAATCAGCATGTTGGTTTAGTAGGGTTAGTTCTGAAATTGCGAGTTCGATTGAGTAAGTAACATCATTTTAAATAGCAATGTGAATAATGTTAGTAACTAATATTCTCAAATGTTAGTGATTGATGTTAGCCTAATGTCAGTTTTTTAAGCATTGACGCATTTCTTCGACAAGTCGTAAAAAGAGAAAAAAAAATGGCTTTGTATTACACATAGTTAGTTCCAATAGTTCAATTCATCTAATAATATTAGCTTAAATTAATCAAAGAATAGTTAGTTTGTTTTAATATTACTGGGTGTCAATCTCGTGTTCTATTCATAATCTCAACTTTAGTGTTATTAACTAATAGAATAAGGAACAATACAATCTCCCTTGAGTAAGCTCTGTTGCAATTTTCCGTTTGCATTTGTCTTAATCTAATAAACAATAAGAGGCACGAGCTTATAAACATGTAACTAATTAGGACCTCTTCTCTTTTATTTTAGAGACGAACTTAATAGAAAATGTAGTCACTTTAGGATTGTCCTTTCAAAATAAACGAGATGAGCCTCGCCTAGTAAAACTCACCGATTGCGGGGCCCTCACGATTGTATATATATTAAATACTTAGAACTCGGGATCGGCCGCTTAGCGAATTTCACGGCCTTTTTCCCAAAAGTAATAACGCGTTAGTCACTGTTAGGCGCGTACTTTTAATAATTTACTTTCTTAAACTCGGGTGCACATTTATGTGACCCAAATCCAAATCTCAACGAAGTCGAAATGTGTCGTTAATCACGGGTACATTGATTGTGACGTGGTTCGAGATGCATTTCCATGACGTTGCAAATTCCTTTTAAAAAAAATGAATGAGATGAGCCTCGACAAACAAGAATACACAAACTGCGGGGCCCTCAACGGACAGTTATTTCAAATGCTTAGATTTCGAGACAGGTCGCATAGCGAACTTTACGGCTTTTCTCAAAATAACAATGTGTTAGTATCTTTAGGCGCGTATTTAATAATGTTATCTTCCTAAACTCGGGTGCACATTTATGTGACCCAAATCTAAATCTCAACGAAGTTGGAACGTATCGAAATTTGCGGGTACATTTATGTGGCGCAATTCGAGATGCATTCTCACGACATTGTAATTCTTTGAATAAATAATAACAAAAGCGGTAAATAGTTAAAATTTTCACGTAGGTTTATAATCGTATAAAATCAGATAATCAAGCCGAATATGACAGTTGAGCGACCGTGCTAGAACCACGGAACACGGGAATGCCTAACACCTTCTCCCGGGTTAACAGAATTCCTTATCCGGATTTCTGGTGCGCAGACTGTTAAACAGAGTCATTCTTTTCCTCGATTTGGGATTCAATCGGTGACTTGGAACACTATAAATCTCCCAAGTGGCGACTCTGAAATAAATAAATAAATCCTGTTTCGATTGTCCTTTGATTGGAAAAACTCCCTTATATACTCCCTTCTCGGGGGTGTAGGTGAAAAAGGAGGTGTGACAGTCATGTAGACTTCTTCATGTAAGTCACCATTCAAATTTATGTACATCCATTTGATATATTGACCATTGTTTGAGTACAGCAACTGCAATAACAGTCCTTATTGTAGTCATTTTGGCCACAGGTGAGAAGGTATCATGAAAGTCAATCCCTTCCTGCCGAGTATAGCTCTTTGCTTCTAGCCTTGCCTTGAACCTTTCCACTATGCCATCAGCATTGTATTTAATTTTGTACACCCATTTACATCGTATAGGGACTTTGCCAGGAGGTAGATTCACTACCTCCCAAGTGTTATTTTGTTCTAATACCTCAATCTCAAGTTTCATAGCCATAGCTTGTGAGAAAGATGTTGGTTCAATGTCAAAAGAAAAAGAGGCTAGGTAGGATTGAAAAGTAGGTGAAAGATGAGAATAGGAAATGAACTGATGTATAGGATAGAGGGATAAAGTGGAAGTAGAAGTAGAAGGTAGGGAAGGACGTACATAGTCAGTCAGCCAGATAGGAGGCTTAGAGACCCTACCTGACTTACTAACTTGTGTGGGATAGGTAACTGGGATAGCACTTGAGTGTGAGTTTGATTCATCAGGAATGTCAGATGATGATTCTGCAAGCAAAGTAGGAATAGAGGAGGAGGAATGAGTAGGGATAATAGGAGAGATAGCAGGAAAATTAGAGAAAGAAGCAGGTGAATCTATTGAATCATTTGAAGGATCAGGTATAGTGAATTCTGGTTCATTAATGGTAGAAGGTTCTGGTTCTATGTTGGAAGGGAGGAATATATCTGAAACAAGATGACTAGGAGTTGGATTAGGAATCACTAGGAACCTGTGTTTAGAATATTTGAAAGGAAATATCCCTTCCTTGAAGACAACATCCTGCTAACCATAAATTTGTCAGTAGAAATATCATATACTTTATATCCCTTTTGTGTTGGTGCATATCCCATAAAGACTCCAGGTGTAGACTTAGGGTTGAATTTATCATGGAAGTCAGTTTTTATGGCATAACAAAGACATCCCAGTGTTCTCATGTGATCAAAAGAAGGAGATTTTCCATGGAACATCTCATAAGGAGATTTTCCTTGTAGAACAAAACTAGGAAGCCTATTTATGATGTAAGTTGTTGTTAGAATGCAATCACCCCAGAATTTTAAGGGTATGTTGGCTTGGAATCTTAAGGCTCTTCCTATTTCAAGAAGATGTTTGTGCTTTCTCTCTATAACTCCATTTTGTTGTAGAGTGTGCACACAACTGCTTTGATAAATTATTCCTTTGGACTTGAAAAGATTGAAACAAAGAGTATTAAAAAATTCATGTCCATTGTCTAACCTGACAAACTTGACGGTAGTGCCAAATTGGTTTTTTACAAGTTGAAGGAAGTCTTTTAAAATAACATACACATCACTCTTGAGTCATAAGAGAAAGTCCATGTCATTATAGCATAGTCATCAACAGGAGTTAGAAAGTATTTGAAGCCATTGTAAGTACATACTTTATAGGGTCCCAAACATCAATATGGACTAGTTCAAAAGAAGAAACAAACTTAGAAGTGCTAATAGGAATTGACAATCTAACTTGTCTAGCAAGAGGACAAATAGGGCAATTACAAGTAGATGACTTAGAAAAATATTTATTTATCTCATGTATAGTTTTTTAAGACTGTCATAGGGGCATGACCCAGTCTTTGATGCCACAGAAAGCTTGAACTTGGTTGATGTGAAACTGTAACACAATTGGAGAAGAATAGCAGGTGCTGAAGGATTGAAGATGTAGAGACCTCCTTTGAGTCTACCAATCCCCTTCACCATGCTACTGGAGAGGTCCTGAAAGATTCAAAAATCAGGATAAAAGTGGACAGCACTATTTAACTCTTTAGTGTATTTGGAGATAGACAACAAGTTATATTTGAATTCAGGCACATAGAGAATATTATGAATGGTTTCTGAGTTAAATAGGTTGCAAGAACCAGTATGAGTAATTTTGGTGCTATTACCATTTGGTAGATGGACTGAGGATGATTTAGGTTCAGGTATTTGGGTGATACTTGACAAGAGATTCAAGGATGATACCATATGATTTGAAGCACTTGAATCAATAATCCAACATCTATATTCAGTTAGTGATTTACCTGCCATGTTGGCAACTTCTGCTGGCTGAGGTTCTTTACTTAAGAGTTTGAGAATTTGTTAATATTGTTCTGGAGTAAACCCCTGCACAGTTGGAACACTCTACATAGCATATGCATTTTCTGCATTCACATTATGAGCCATAAGTCCACCATTGTCATGTGTTCTTCTCCTCTTATTATTATTGAACTTAAAACCTGGTGGGTATCCATTGAGTTTATACCAAGTGTCCCTTGTATGTCCTTTCATCTTGCAATAATCACATAATAATATATTGTTCCTCCTAGGTCTCATATTGGAAGCATTTGTAGTTACCAGTGCACTGTTGTCCATGCCTACAGGTGCACCTCCTAGAATCCCACTCTGTATAGCAGATCCAATACTCATCCTCTAACATTCCTCTTGAACAATCATGGAATATGCTTGATCAAGTGTTGGTGTAGGATGCATCATCAGTATTTGACTTCTTTATGGTGCATACGTAACGACCCGACCGGTTGTTTTGAGCATTTGGACTCCGCTTGGTTGTTTAATGGTATGAATAGTTTTGTATGATATATTATGACTTATATAAATCATTGATTTTGGTTTTCAGGTTATTTGGAATTGATTTGGAAGAATGATTCTCAGTTTGATCTCGAATTGGATTTTCGGAAGTTGGAATAGGTTTGTGGTGTCATTTATGACTTGTGTGCAAAATTTGAGATCAATCAGACGTGATTTGATAGGTTTCGGCATCGGTTGTAGAAGTTTGAGGTTTCAAGTTCATTAAGATTGAATTGTTGTGCGATTCATTTTTTGTTGTTGTTTGATGTTATTTGAGGGCTCGACTAAGTTTGTGTAGTGTTTTTAGGACTTGATGGTACATTTGGTTGAGATCCCGAGGGCCTCGGGTGTGTTTGGAGGTAAGTTTTGAGCCAGTCCAGGCATTTCAACACTCTGGTATTGTTCTGGTACTTTTGGAAGTGCAAACTGCATATTTTGGAGTGCTGAGGCGAAGGAGAGGTGCAGACTGCAGCAGAAATATGCGGACCTCAGAGGAGGAGTGCGGACTGCACAATTTTATGTACGGCCGCACATCAGGGAGTTCTGCAGATTCACTGGTCCAACTGTGGAAGCTTATATCTTTTGATCCACAAGGAATTTGGAGATGATTCAAAAATAAAAGTTATAGCCCTTCGTGTCTACTTTCCAGAAAGGTAAAGAAATCATCATTTGAACATTATTAAGAAAGTTATGGCAAATTTACTGAAACCTGAAAGTAGAAAAGTTGTGAAGTGCGGCCACACAATTTTTGTGCGACTGCAGGACTTGGAAAGGTGCGACCGCACTTGGAAATGTGCGGACTGCACATTGGAAGGTCAGAGGGCGTACTATATAAATGAGGCTTAGGGTATTATTTCACATTTTGGACCTTGAGAGCTCGGTGTTTGACGATTTTTCGTAGAGTTTTCAAGAAATTCATCGGGGTAAGTGATTCTAACTCAGATTTGGTTAATATACATGAATATATCATTGTTTTACATTTAAATAGTATTTTGAGATGAAAATTGGGGGTTTTGGCCAAAAGTTTCATAATATGAGTTTTTGAGTTTTGAACATCGATTTGGAGTCGGATTTGAGTTAAACTAGTATAGTTAGACTCATAATTGAATGGGTTGTCGGATTTTGTAAGTTTTGTCGGGTTCTGAGGTGCGGGCCCAAGTGTGATTTTTGGACGGATATGGGATTTGATTTAGGATTCGATCTTTATTAATTGTAATTGATTCCTTGGGGTTTGTCTGATGCATTTGGGTTGTTTTTGGCTATTTTGAGTCGTTCGGAGGTCGCTACACATGAGATGACATTTTTGGAGCATCGCTTGGCTTGCTCGGTATTGGAATTGGCTTGTTCAAGATAAGTAACTCTTCTAAATTTAGTGTTGAGGGTATAAAACCCCGAATTACTTGTTATGTGATTGGTATTGAGGTGATGCACATGCTAGGTGACGAGCGTGTGGGAATGCATCCTGTAAATTGTAACTCCGTTGTTTCTATGGCACATTATAGTGGCCCTACTTTGTTGATATCCATGTTTTTATCGTGTGACAAAGTAATTGAGCTATCAATCATGCTAGATATCATGTTTAGGATTTATGCTGATACTGTTTGGACCCATAATGATCGTTTCTTGCTGTCATTTCACTAATTTCATTGCTATTTTATACTCAGTCATGTTTATGCATTCATATCATATCTCAGTCTCAGTTGTTATTTATTGATACATTATATCATTATTGTCGGGCTAGCTTCATGACATTGTGAGTCTGTGAGTGAGACTGGAGAGATTGATGACTGAGTGAGGCCAAGGGCCTAATTGTGAGGTTATTAATACTATAGCATGTGAGTTCTCCGTGCGGATTCTGATATTGATACTATAGCACGTGAGTTATCCGTGCGGATTCTGATATTGATACTATAGGACGTGAGTTGTCCGTGCAGATTCTGATATTGATACTATAGGACGTGAGTTGTCCGTGCAGATTCTGATATTGATACTATAGCACACGAGTTGTTTGTGCAGATTATAGAGCTTGGGATGAAGGAGCCCCTCCGGAGTCTGCACACCCCCAATTAGCGCAGTCAACTATGCATATGCATACATACATACATATATATATATATATATATATAGATATAGATATGTATGTTGATCGGGTTGCATGCCGCAACGAGTATACAGTGCTGAGTGATTGAGTATGCTGAGTGATTGAGTGTACTGAGTATTGAGCACGGTAAAAGATAATACGAGACAGTGAGGTTGAGTACCCTGAGAGTGTGAGTACATGAGTTCACCACTGAGAGGCATTACATTTGACATACGTACTTGAGATACATGCATAGAGATGAATTTTCCTTTTGTTGCCCGGTTTTGGTGACATTCATGATTTTTACCTGTATCTTGACATGTAGGCATAGAGATGTACTTTTCTCATGCTATCTGAAAATGAAATATTTACCTGATGAAAAGGTTTTTGGAAAAAGTTACAGTTTTCAAACTTACTCATATTTTTGACGATTTCGGTAAAGGATTTGGATTTTCACTGATATACTTGAAAAGCATAACTATGCTGGAAAACTATGAAAAGGTTGAGCATTTTATCTCTTAGCTACTTCTTTATTTACTTGCTTTACATTGTTATGAACTGCTATTGGTTATTGGTATTGAGCCCGACCTATGTTCCAGCTTGTCACTGCTTTCAACCTAAGATTAGGTTTGTTATTTATTGAGTACACGGGGTTGGTTGTACTTATACTACATTCCTGCAAAATGCATGCAAATTTCGGATGTCGATGTTGCTGTGCATTGCGGGAGCTGGATTCGAAGGTGTGACTGCGTCCCTGTTGTAGCTGCCTCGTGTTCATGGTAGCCTTAGATTATAAAACTCTGTTTATGTACTTTTCAAACAGAAGATGTATTTACTTCATATCAGCTTTGTAAACTCTATTTTTAAAAGTTCATGACTTGTACTACTAGTCCTTGGGAATTATATAAGATTCAGATAGTTTCTTTGTCTAATTGTCTTATTAATATTATTAAAATTGGATAGTTATTAGTTGGCGTACTTAGCGGGTTGTGTTAGGTGTCATCACGACTAGTGAATTTTGGGTCGTGACAACATAAGTCTCATTCAATCCCATTAAGAACTTCATAAATTTTTGCTAGTATAGGAACACAACAAATTGTATGGACTTCTCATAATCACAACCAGGAAATGGGATAATTAACTCAAATTCATCTCATAATCATTCAGCCTAGAAAAATACACTGACACACTAGAGATTCCTTGTGTTAAGGAACTTATTTCCTTGTTCATGTGATAAATTTTTGTGGCATTCACCTTATCAAATCTATTCCTTCACATATTTTAATACCTTTTGTGCATCTGAAGAGTACGCAATTCCTCTTCTAAGTACTGGTGCTACTGAACTTCTGATCCATGATTGGACTATTATATTGCATCGTTCCCATTGTCTTAACCTAAAGTTATCTTTCTCATATTGTTCTCTAGTACAAGTTCCGTCTATAAAACCTAGTTTATTCTTTACCAATAGTGACATTGTCATAGATCTACTCCATTCCGAATAGTTTTCTGTTCCAATTAGTAATTTAGCACAAGTGAGATACCTGGTGTGTCCGAAGCATGTACATATAGCGGATCATTGCAATCGAGTGTTTGAGTGGTTGCATGTGATGATCCAGCACTCCCATCAGGAATATCGATGGCCATTTCAGCAAAAAATCGAAGAATTTTAAAGATTTCACAATCAGCAGACAATTTTAAAAGAGGAACGAAAAATTGGGGAAAACGGAGATTTAGAAGAAATGATTAGATGCTGGAGCTCGACTGTCAGAATCGCGTGGAGCCGGGCTCTGATACCATGTTAAAAGTAAACCCTAGGTACGCCATTGTTGAGCTCTTCATGAGCATCGACTTTCAGAGATGAAGGAAGAAGAGAAAGAGAGAAGATAGAGAGAGAACTAAGCTCATTTCTTCAACTAACTAAATGAAATGCACTGTACATACATATATAATCACTAACCGACTTAACTAACTCTAGTTACACTTATACACCTTCTAGAACAGTATTACTTAAATAGCCTTAGGTACAACTGCATTAAGCTACTAATTTCTACATTTCCCCTCAAGTTGAGAATGGAAAATATTTTTCATTCTCAACTTGGATACTAGAATTGCATATTGCTGGTGTCTCAAGGCCTTTGTCAAGATGTCAGCCAGTTACTCATTACTTCTATGTGCTCAGTCTTGATTAATTCTTCTTGAATTTTCTCCCTAATTCAATAAACCAATCATCTACTAATAAAAATATATGTATACTAAATAATATATTATTATTTAATCTCCGTATTATGATTCTACTCTATAATTGCAGCATAACTCATTCACAAACTGAACGAACCCTTAGGATAAATTAATCAATGTCTTTAAAATTTCTTGAAATTAGAGCCAAAATTTAAACTGTGCATCAGACCTTGTCCGCACCTTAAGACGTGCTGAATACAAAACAAATAATTTGTATTCACCACATGCAACCCACTTCTGACAGTTACGTGCCCACTTTCATGTGGAGCTAGCACACGGTACCGTTGAACTTAATAATTTTTGCTTAAATAGTATTCTTTTTGTTCCAAAATAAATAGTTTTTGGACCTTTTTTTATTCAAAATAAGTGATTTTTTCAGATTTTAAGAATGAATTAATTATTTTTTTTCCTACATTGCCCTTGGAGTAATAGTGTTGGAGTATGTGTTAGGAATGTTTATGTAAAGATATAGTAAAGGTTAATATGGTTAATTTCATTGCTAATTAATATTAAGAGGTGAACTTTTTAATCTGTGTGAAAATAACTAAAAAATTAGTTATTTTGGACCGAAATAAATATAATTTGTATTTGTATTAAAACTACATTAAAGATACACAAATATTAAATTAGAACACAGTTATTAATGGTTGAAATGCATTTTAAAATCCATAACCCATCCGTGTTATTGCAGCAATTTTCACTGTCATGGCGTAAATTTCCGTGCTTCAGATTTGCAAGGTGACAACTTTAACCCATCATTTTCACGACAACGATCGATAACTGGCTATGACCAACTTCCTTTTTCAACGGTTGATGTCTCCACTGTTTCTTTCAGAAAGTTGACAACACACTTAAGAGAAAAAAGTATTTGTTTTTCAAAAACATTATTTTTTTCTAATTTGAGGTGTTTCACCAAGCTTATTTGGGAAAAAAAATGCTTTGGGGAAGAAGTAGAAGCAGAAAAAAATAGCTTCTTTCCAAAAGTAGAAGCAGTTTTGACTTTTCTTCTTACCTAAAATACCCTTAACAAAATATAGTATATACCAAAATAACCCTTAAACCTAATACTTAGGATATTAATTTATAAATTTTTTTTTTATTTTTAGGAAAATCTTCTAATATATAATGACTTTAGGGGTGAATGTTTTTATATTTATTGAAGGAATTTTAATATATTTAACTTATATTAAAAGAATTAAGTACTTTTTAATTTTATTTTCATATTTTACTTAAATAAAATGAATTTTTTTTTTAATTATTGCATGTAATAACAAAAAATTGATATTATTTATTTACTTATAATATTAATTATTAAGTAAATCTATTCATGTCCTTATTCGTAATTTGACACTTAAAAGCACTTTCTAAAAAGTTTGGCTAAACACAAATTATTTTTCGAAAGTGTTTTTCAGATTGATTAGCCAAACACAAACTGCTTCTCTCCAAAAGTACTTTTTTCAAAAGAACTTTTAGAAAAAGCACTTTTCAAAATAAGCTGATTTCTCCGGCTTGGCCAAACATGTTATTATAAATATATAGACTATACCCTTTTTATAGACATTCTCTACAGTGCATCTTCTAACTATTCTGCTTTCCTTAGTTTTGAGGTATGCCCTTAACATCTTCTCTTTCATATCAAGTGTAGTTCTCTTTTTTTTTTTTTTTTTGAGGTTATTGTTGACTGTTAATTCTTGCTACTGTCACTACTTTGTTTTCCTTTTAATTGTTGGGTTTATGTTTTTCTTGAGTCGAGGCTATCAGAAACAACCTCTTTACCTTACACTACCCTCCCAAGACGACCCCACTTGTGAGATTTCGCTGGTTATTGTTATATTGTTGCATGTTAATTCTGGGATTTTCTTGATTTTCTTTCAAGTACTTTATAAATGAGGTCAATTTTCTGTTAAATGAGTAGGTCTGCATATAGAACATTGAGTTGAATGAATGATACAAGTTTTTGCTGCCCCCTTTTATTTTTAATTTTTTAAAATGAATCTAATGGTGGCAAGAATCCAAAGATAGTCCAGATAATCTGGGATAATATTTCAATCTTTTCTTTCATACTCCATCTGTTTCAAAAAAGATTAGCATTATTTCCTTATTAGTCACACAAATATTACCCGTACATATAGCAAGGCTGGATCTTGATTATAGACTTGAGTGAGTAATGCAAGTTTTTGCTACCCCCTTTAATCTTTTTAACTTAAGAATCTAATGGTGGCAAGAATCTAAAGATAGTCCAAGATAATTTGTGATAAAATTTCAATCTTGGTAATCATGATTTAATATTTATTTTTCTTTAATTCCCTTGTCAATGTCTCTTATCTTTTTTATGGTTTTTGAGAATCTTGTGTGTTTGTTTCACATTTAGAGCTTAGAAAGTGTATATGGTTTAACACAGATACATATAATCAATCATAGTTGGTATTGTTGACAATGAGCTTTAATTTGAGAACTTATGAATTAGGTTAAAATGGATCCAAGGTTCAATAGTTTTCCAACTTCTATGAATGGATTCAGCCTGGAGAACCAATCCTTACCCATTTCTTCGAATCGTTGGAAGAATAATGAGCCAAGATTTGAAGCTATTTATCAAGATCAGAAGCTAGTCAATGGTCCAAGATTTGAAAATAACTTTGTCCCAAACAATGTTGGTGGAGTTCAATCAGTTTCTAATGACCCTTTACCAACAAGCAGCAACAAAGCATTGACTTCTGATATTGGTGCTGAGGATGAATACAATGAAGACTTTGATTTCTCTGATACGGTTTTGAGCTATATAAATCAGATGCTTATGGAAGAAGATATGGAGGATAAGACACATATGCTTCAGGAGTCGTTGGAATTTCAAGCGAAAGAGAAGTCATTCTATGAGGCCCTCGGCAAGAAATATCCACCTTCACCTCAGCAAAACCTGTCGATTACTTACCAGAACGATGAGATACCAGATGAGTACTGCTCAGGAAGTCTGTATAATTTTACGAGTAATAGCAATGACAGTAGTGGTTACCTTATTGATCCAACAGTTATTAACATTTCCAATGATCTTGATTCCTCTTATGTACAAGGCCTTTCAGTTTGTAATGGTACTTACTCTTCGATTAGCTCATCGAGTAGCTTAAATAATATTGTAGATGGGTTCTTAGACTCTCCTGTAAGTCCTCTTCATACCCCTGATATATATAACGACAGCCACCCGATTTGGAACTTTAGGAAAGGAGTGGAAGAAGCAAACAAGTTCCTCCCAACTAATATTAAGTTGTTGGACAATGTGGATATTAATGACTTGTTGCCTCTGGAGAAAAGAGGGGAAAGTGGTTATGTGGCTGCTCGGGTAGAGAAAAGGTATGCGGGAGAGACTTCACCTACAGAGCCGAGAGGGAGGAAGAATCCTCATAGAGATGATAAGGATTTACTAGAAGAAGAAAGAAGTAGCAAACAAGCTGCTGTTTATACAGAATCAACAGTTCGTTCAGACGAGTTTGATATTGTTTTGCTGCATAGCTTGGGTAATGGGAAGGAAGCGTTGGAAGCTTATCGCGAGAGCTTGAAGAATGCTAGAATGAAAACTACGGTGCAGAATGGGAAATCAAAAGGATATAATGGAGGGAAGGGCCGCGGCAAGAAATACAGTAGTAAAAAGGAAGTCATAGATTTAAGGACTCTTTTAATAAATTGTGCACAGGCTGTTGCTGCTGATGATTGCAGAAGCGCAATTGAACTGCTGAAACAGATCAGACTCCATTCATCTCCTTTCGGAGATGGCAACCAGAGATTGGCTCATTGCTTTGCGGATGGTATGGAGGCACGCTTGGCCGGCACTGGTAGCCAGATTTATAAGGCCCTTGTCAATAAAAAAACATCAGCAGCCGATTTTTTAAAGGCCTATCACTTGTATCTCGCGTCATCGCCATTCAGGAAGCTTTCGGGTTTTGCCTCAAACAAGACAATCATGACAAAAGCAGGGAATGCTGCAAGGGTCCATGTCATTGACTTTGGTATCCTCTATGGCTTTCAATGGCCTACGCTTATTCAACGTATCTCAGCTAGAGAAGGTGGGCCCCCAAAGCTTCGCATTACTGGTATAGAGTTTCCTCAACCTGGTTTCAGGCCTGCAGAAAGGATTGAGGAAACAGGACGCCGTTTGGCTGATTATGCTCAGACCTTTAATGTACCATTTGAATACCATGCAATTGCAAAGAAATGGGAAACTATCAGACTTGAGGATCTAAAGCTTGAAAAAGATGAATTTCTTGTCGTCAATTGTTTGTATAGATTTAAGAACTTGCCTGATGAGACCGTGTTAACTGACAGTTCGAGAACTCTTGTTCTCGATCTTATAAGGAAAATCAATCCAGACATTTTCATCCATGGGATTGTCAATGGGGCTTACAGTGCCCCATTTTTTGTCACGCGATTTCGTGAGGTCCTTTTTCACTTTTCTGCACTTTTCGATATGCTGGAAGCTAATGTACCACGTGAGTCTCCAGAACGAATGTTAATTGAGAGAGAGATCTTTGGGAGGGAAGCCCTGAATGTCATAGCTTGCGAGGGGTGGGAAAGAGTCGAAAGGCCAGAGACATATAAGCAATGGCAAGTTCGTAATCTAAGGGCAAGGTTTACACAGATACCTTTTGAACGGGAGGTCATGAATCGGGCAATAGAAAAGGTGACATCAAGCTATCACAAAGACTTTGTAATCGACGAAAATAACAAGTGGCTATTGCTAGGGTGGAAAGGGAGAACAATATATGCATTATCTTGTTGGAAACCTATTTAAGAATCTGCAAGCTATGTTGCTCGGATTCTCCGAAAATGTTTCCGGGTGCGTGTCGGATCCTCCAAAAGTAGTATACTTTTGGAGGATCCGACAAGGGTGTGGCAGCATTTTGGAGAGTCCACGTAACATAGTGTGCAAGACATGTTTTTAACATGCTTTCTTTTGAACATAAAGTTGTCTTTCCACATATTTGGAGAAATCAAACAATACAGAGGTAAATCTCCTGACCTATTTCACATGTTCTCTTCTTGTTCCAATTCATCTTTAACATTAAAAAGTGACTGAACATGCCACCCATGCAGGTAACGGGCAAGTTCATGCTGTTGTTAAAGCTAATAAATATTTGCTCACACGAGCGACACAATGTTTATTTCGTTGCTAAGATGATCATTCAAGGTGAGGCTTCAGAAAATATTCTTGCCAACCGATGATGAAGTTGAATTATCAGCATATAATCGTTGCTGCAAAGTGTGTAGCACATACCTGCTACCTTTCACCTAACTCTGGTCATCATCGAGTTTTAGGCAGATAGGAAAAGATTACCTAGTAGTATTTTTTGTATCTATTGGAACTTAATTTCTAGTCTCTCAAGACCTTTTATCACATTTCACTGCTACACCCTGGGGTGCCTTATGTGCAACGCGTTGTTATTAAACATTATTATCTTGTCTGTTTTGCTTCTTTATCCATCATTTGGATTTCCATTTGAAAAGAGAACAAGTTTTGCATAGCCTTGTATTTAGGCTGTCAAATGGTGTGTTAACTGACAAATAGCATATACAGAATTAGATGCAATAGATCACTTCTCTTCTTAGTTCAATCCCAATGTTCATTGTTTTTTTCACGAGCATAATTTCTGCCACGGCATGCAACAATAATCTGAAAAATGGCAATAAAACTTCTCAAATATTAATCAACTTCATCTTTTGGATTGTCAAGGTTCAAAGTGCTTCTTGGTTCGTAATTTAGAATTTTAACTTATCACAGTTTACAAGAGAATTATTAGCTACCTCCTTGTAAGTAGACTAACTCGTTTATAAGAAATGCCCCTTGTATTATCTACAATCAATTCAACAAGTATTACTTCACATTTTCTCTTTCCATACGGTATCAGAGTCTTACTTATTTTTATAATTGTACTAGTCTCGACTCTTGGGTTGACTATTTCAATGCCATCACTCATTATTTCGATGATCTAGGGTCACGGTCTAGTGTTACGGTCTTTTCACGTCAAGAGAATATTATGTAGAATACTCTCCACTTAATTGTAGAATAATCACTACTATTTTAAATTTTGCATAGAAAATGTACTAACTTTCTTGCAGGGGCGGATCTACCTTGTCGGACCGGGGTGGCACGCCACCCGCATGCTTCGACAAAAATTCTTAATAAATATGTTGATATCTATGGAAAGTAAGCTATATATATATAAAGTGGCACCCGGATTACACAAACAGCAAGCGGGTGCCATGGTTTTGACTTGATTTTGAAGTCTGTAATCTACTGCATGGTTCTGGGTTCAATTTGCTGCAGTAGCAAATTTTACGTTTCTTTGTTTTAAGATCTTTTTCCTACTTATTAACCCTAGATTTCCCTCTTTTTTCTTCCGGTTGTTTGCTACTAAATCCCTCTATATTCTTTCTTTGGTTAAATTTCTATACATTAGTATTCATTTTGCTCCCTACAATTATATCTTATTTCATAAGCAATTTCTTTTGATACGTAATTTTAAAATTCTAATTAATATATAGTTTCTCTCTTTCTAGTGATACAACATTAATTTATATATTGGAGTATAATTTTACAGTATCATTTGTTGGATTTTGAAAAAAATATCCTGATTAAGAGAGGTTTTAAATTGATTTTCATAGATTGATAACTTTAAAATTTTGCCTTTGAAAATAATTCTCATATGACTCAACAATTAAATTGAAAAATTAACCCAAGCATAATGATTAATTAATCAAATCAAACATTATATAAGCTACTCTTTAAGAAAAATTTCTAATTGCATGCGTACTTTCATGGATAATATCTTTTCGTACTTTTATCTGGAAAATAGTAAATCAAGCGTAAAAAAATTGAACTAAAATTGAACTTATTTGCATTTTTTAAATAAAAGACGTAACTGGATTAACCAAAAATTAACTGAATCATCCATTCTTCCTATTCGGTCTTTCTGGCTACTATATATATAGTGGCACCTGCAACCTTCAAATGTTGGATCCGCCTCTGCTTTCTTGTGAGTAGACAAAACTTTTATGTAAAGAGCTTCTCTCTTGAATTGAATACTCCCACCTTTTCTTTTCTTTTTTCATACAAAATTTTTATACAAAAAAGTAGTTTTTTTTTAAATATATAAGCTATTGAATCCCCTTAACACATGGGAAAGCTTCGGGGTGTNGTAATTGATTTAGAAACTAAAAGCTACACCTTTGCATATAAATCAAAGTTTAAATTGGCTTTTGAACTTGACAGACATGCTTTGTACTTCATATATTACATTTGATTTCAGGTTTTTTTTCAATAATTTTTTTTTCTATAATTGTTTTTTCTTCACTGCACCTTTCTTTACTAGAACCCATCCTTTAAATGCACATTTGCGCTTTACACTTAAAGCCCCGATGTACCTTGTGTCTTTTTCAATGCCTTTTCGCGCGTTTTCACCTTTGACAACACTGATTGGGACAACCTCTGATCCCTCAGAAGAGGATTGATTATCTTGTGCTGTCTTGTCCTTAGGGATATCTTTAATTTCTCTGTTCTCTTCTTCGAATCCTTGCTTGAACCTGTTATAGTTTGTAAGCTCACTATTCTCAAATGAGCGTTCACCCAATACCTGGACCAGATCTTCTTGATGAAGGACCTCCTTTTCAAGTAGCAATTCTGCAATCTGAGCTACATGTTCTCTGTGTTCCTCTATAAGCTGTAGGGTACGATCATATGCCTTGGCGATCCATTCTCTAACTTCATCGTCAATAATTGCTGCAGTCTTGCTACTGTAGGGCTTTGATGTCTCAAATGTATCATCTCTTTGCGGAAAAGAAAGAAGACCAACCTTGTCACTGAAACCATAGACAGCTACCTGAGCATATGTCATCTTGGTTACTTTCTCCAAATCATCTTGAGCTCCAGTTGAGATCTTTCCAATCAAAACCTACTCAAAAATTAAAATCCATATCAACATTGAAAAGATCTGATTTAGTGGAAGAAAAAAAGGTAGAAAATTCGGAAAAGGAATAGGTGGAAAAAGCAAGTTGCTATAAAGATTTAAAGAGATTGCATTTTCAATAAGGTACGTAGTGACTAATCTTGTCCAACAACGAAGTATTATATGTGACGTTTTTTAGGTTATTGATTCTATGAATATCCAGAGTTGTCATATTAAGGCCTACTACTTCATTGAGCAGCTTTCTATGAGGTTGAAAAGCAGAAAATTGAATATGCCCAAACTCATTAGGAATAGTTTAGGATGTATGCATTTAGGCATGTTACTGTGTAAAAGTTGGTGGCATGACACAGTCTTTTTGCGTCTAAGAAACTTCATTCATATTATGACAGCAAAAAGGGTACCTAAAATGACATGCAACAAACCAGTTTGATGACTATAAAATATTCTAGCAGAACTGTAACACAAGTAATTCATGTCACAAAGGATTCACCTTCTAGAGGATAACTATTTCGTTAAGTGAAGGGGCAAGAAGATTATAAAAAAAATGGTAATTTCCTAAAGAGAAGTCACAGGAGTCATTTCTTGAAGTACGACGCGGGGCTTGTCCGAGACCATATAAAGAGACAACAGCCTATTTTTTCAACCTATGTGGGACGTTCTAACAGTCTTTGGCAGGAATGGTTTGCATATGCATCCAGCACGATGAGATGTTTCCAAAAGATTAACTGATAATGATGTAGGGAAAACATGTGAAAACAAGGAGACAGTTGATAAATATACCTGCTCAGCAGCTCGGCCACCAAGAGTCATGCATGTCATATCAAATAGCTGCTCCTTAGTCATTAAAAGATTTTCATTGGGAACATATTGAGCAAATCCTAATGCTGCTGTTCCACGAGGAATAATTGTCACTTTAAGTAATGGTTCTGCATGTTCCAAGAACCAACCAGCAACAGCATGGCCGGATTCATGATACGCAATTGTCCTCCTTTCCAGTTTGCTTATGACCTGCAGAATGCACAAAGGTAGCTTTGCATAAGTATATCGTGTTGTCCAAAAATAACTTTTTTGCCATTTACAAGTTCTTACTAGAACCTACTGGACTGCAATTCATAACAGCATCTTAAGAAAAAGAGTGAGGAGATTGGATACCTTGTTCTTCTTCTCTAGACCCCCAATCACCCTGTCTATTGCTGCCTCGAAATGATGCATTTTGATTGTGGTACTCTCACTCCTAGCAGCAAACAAAGCAGCTTCATTACAAACATTCGCAATGTCTGCTCCAGCAAATCCTGGTGTTAGAGCAGCAAACCTCTGTGAATAGAACGCTGCCTCCTGGTCAAGTTTCAACTTGTTCAGATAGATTCTGAAAATCTGTTCACGACCTTTTATGTCTGGCTTGTCAATGGTAATCTGGCGATCAAAACGACCAGGCCTTAACAAGGCTTTGTCTAATATATCAAGTCTATTTGTGCCAGCGAGTACAACTACACCAGATGTGGTTGCAAATCCGTCCATTTCTACAAGCAGGTGGTTTAAAGTACCCTCACGTTCATCGTTTCCTCCAGAATAGCGTCCCTTCCCTCTTGTTCCACCTACTGCATCGATCTCGTCGATGAAAATTATACTAGGTGCACAACGTCTTGCCTCCCGAAATAAGCTCCTAACTCTAGCTGGACCAACACCAACAAACATCTGCACAAATTCTGACCCAGAAATCGAGAGAAAAGGTACGCCAGCTTCTCCAGCTGTAGCTTTAGCTAAAAGTGTCTTTCCAGTCCCAGGAGGACCAACTAGAAGAGCACCCTTAGGAATTTTGGCTCCTAGCTCCTCGTATTTTTTGGGATTCTTAAGGAAGTGGACGAAGTCCATAATTTCTTGCTTAGCCTCGTCACATCCAGCCACATCCTTGAAGAAGACCTGTACCATAAAAGTGCCAGTTGACTTTAGTTTCCAACTAATCAGGAAAAAACAAATTCTCAGTGAAAAGACTGCTGTTTTTTGAAGCTGTCCAATAATGGGAACTAATTCTCACCTTATTCTTTGCATTTTTGTCCATCTTTGTGAAATGCGCTTTACCAATATTAAGTATTCCACGAGCACCTCCAAAATCCATATAATAAAGGATAGCTAGAAGCAACAGGGTTAAACCACACTTCATCAGTTCTGGGAACCAATCCAACTCATTAACATATACCACAGAGACAAAATTATTAGAGTCTATTCCCCAGGCTTCTTGTGCTTCCTTCAGCTTCTGCTCAAATGACTCAACACTCCCAATGTTAAAAGAGTATTTGTGGTTGCTAATGTTTCTATTACCATTTGTACCACTTGTAGGACCTTGAACGGTGTCATCATCAGTTTGATTATTACCAGGTGAAGAACTCCTTACATAAACTCTGGCTACATCTTTGTTAGCAACGACAATTCGATCAACAAGACCAGGTTCAAGTAGCTTGTTTTTAAACTCTTGGAAGCTAATCTGAAAATTTACGTAAAGTGAAGTGACCATGAAAAGAGAAAATACAACCATCTAATGAAAATAAGACAAACACTGCCCTCCCAGAAAATAAAATCCTGCTAAGTCACCAGTCACAAATGAAAAGATTTAATATATACAGAATTTTTGTTGCTTCGTTAATTTCATACATGCACTGTAAAACCTTTTTTTTGATAAGGAACATGTAAAACCTTGAAAGAAGTTCTTCATCATAATCCACTTTATAATATTTTTACTTTTATAAATATTAATATACACAAATAATTTAAGAAGAATAAGTTCGAATTGGCAATGTATAACAGAGATGCAAGGGTCACATGGTTGAATGACATAGCATGAGTACTTAAGTTTTATTTAATGTTATTTGTTTTGTTTTTTTCCGATAACTGCGGTGTATGGGCTAGCTTGCGCGGGCTTCGACTAATTCCACCGAATATCTGCCACCTCCCACCAACAACAGGTACGAGATAACTCTGTCCACCAAGGCTTGGACAAATTGGAAGAAATCAACTAGTATTTGACATTTGGTTTTAAATTATTGTTATTTCAATAACATCTAAATGAAGTTGATTTCATCTCAAAAACCAAGTCCAAATCCGATTCTTCAAAAGCAAACTAACAATTTCATTCATAAAAGTTTACAAAAACCTAATTTTCCAAATCAAACCCTATATTGAAACATCCTCTATCCCAGTGTCCTCATTTACTGGTAGACATACAGTTAATTGGTCTTTCATTTCCATTTCATCCACTAGGCAAATCCACGATTAGATGAAAATCGGTCATAACATTTTATCAAATAGATTACATTCCAGTCTACATTGGTCTCACACTCCTTAATTAAGGCACTAAACTCATCCTCTAATATAAGAAAAAAGAGCTGAAACAATGAGAGTTAGAACTGTACAACAAACTGTTGGGTAGAACTAACCTCCTCCGGTTCGAGATAAATCAGAAGTAATATTGATGACAAAGCAAAGCCAACAAATAACAAAAAGAGTATAAGTTGATATTTCTTCATGGAGTTCACCTGGGCCTCCTTGCTCAGTTACACATTCCTCTGCCAAAGATTAAACCAAAGAACAAGTTTTCAGTTTTCAGCATAGATAACCCAAGGGAACAAAACATACAAATAAAAAAGAAAAAAAAGAATTTAGAGATCATGTCAGGTGTTGCGATTTCACTTATTTCAAACTCCACCAAATCAATCAACTAAGCCTCAATCCCATACTAATTGGGGTTCGCTATAAATGCTTTGTAATTGTTCTACTTTTGAGCTTCATGTTTTAAACTCATAAAAAGTGTCTAATATAACCTTTGAAGGATTCAAAAGCATATGCTTTCACATATAAAGGTTTTCACGCTGACAAAGTTGTAATTCGTGGTTCTCTCAAGTAGTTTACGATCACTTTTACACAGTGTTAAGACATAGGAGGTGACACAATTCAAGTTTTTTTTTTTTTTTTGAATTGGTAACTTTTGTATATATTAATAACATCAGTACATAGGTTGCACTGAAAACCAAATTTACATGAAGAGGATAAGGAGATGTTCTGATTTGAGACCTAGCAAGATCCTAGTATGTCTATGATTGTCAATGTATCTTTTGTGTAAATCTGTTTGCACCAAAAACAAAAAAGAAGAATACAATTGAGTTTGATCTTCTGTACTGGATTGCTTCTATCTTCAAAACATCTAGCGTTCCTTTCCCTCCAAACTGTCCACCAGATACAAGCCGGGACAGTCCTCCATCTATCTCTACTAGTTGCTTCAGCTCCAGCTTCTTCCCAGCTATAAAGGACATCTTTAAGCCTGTATGGCATTGACCATGAAATGCCCCTAAGACTAATAAAGATTTTCCATAGTTGGTCTGTAATCTTGCAATGTAGAAATAAATGGCTAACAGTTTCAACATTTTTCCCACATAGAAAACATCTTGAACACAGAAAAATTCCCCTTTTTATGAGATTATCCTGGGTTAATACAGCCTCCTTTGCTAGTAGCCAAGAGAAGCATGCTACCTTGTATGGAATCTCCATATATGTTTCCATGGCCATGCGTCTACTTGTTGATTATTATGATTCAAAATCTTATATGCATCCTTCACCTGATAAAACCCTCCGTTGTGCCTCTGCCACCAAAGTGAATCAAACCCTTCCTGTAAACCTTTAAATGCTTCCAACTCTTTGTAAAGGTGAGCTAATCTTGTTATCTCCCAGTCATTGAGAGAGATTTCTCATCCTTGATGACTCCTCATATCAGCTACTGTCCTATGCTGGTTTTGTGCCAATCCAAACATATCGGGGTATCTTTCCTTTAAGCTTCCATGTCCCAATCAGTAATCATTCCAGAATGATGTGTTCCTTCCGTTGTTCACTCTTATGGAAGGGTGATTCTTCATTATAGGCCAAAGTTCTCGGATGGATTTCCACACACTTACTCCATATGATGTTCTGACTTTTTTTGACACCCAGTTATTTTCCTCACCGTACTTAGCTTTGATCACTTTGCTCCATAAAGATTGGGGTTCTTGAGAGTACTTCGATAACCATTTCATTCTAAGAGCCTTGCTTTGATTCTTCAAATTCCTAATTCCTAAACCACCTTGTTTTTTAGCCATTTCATTCAAGTTCACATTGTCAAAATCTACTGCTAACTATTTCAATTTGGGAACTCTTAGCAGAAAAGCAAAAGCAGCATATAGCAGAATACCCAATATCTCAACCAGCTTAGAGAAAAGAGGCAATTCGAATCCCCATCCTTCTAATTTCCTCCGTCTACTTTCTACACGCCACGCACAAGAAATGCACACTCAAATCATGCCCCACTTTTTGATATCCATCACCATTCATAGATAAAATATCCTCATCTTCCTCATTTGTGGAATACCATAAAATGGTTTAGATCTTTACAGCCCCATCCCACTTTGTAGACTTAACCACAATTCATGGATAAGTATCCTCATCTTCCTAATATTCCAGAATTGTATAAATGATTTTAGACCTCCCAAACTATCTCTAATCAATTTCTTACTAGTTTTGCGCAAAGTTCCACAACCGATCTCTTCAAACTACATCTACACATTCTTTTTTTAATAAGCAAAGAACATCTCGACATTATCTGTAATAATACAAAGCTTATATAAATATATGTACATTTTGATATGATATCCAAAGTTTTTAAATATCATATCTACTATCAAGCACACTTCTGTTAGCTCATTTCAAATCATTTTACTCCACCATATGATCTCTAACATCAAATGTAACTGATCAATGACAATCACACAGGATAATGAATTAATTTCTAAAATGGTTATCCAACTTAGGATTTTTTTCTTACAAAAGTCGCTAAACTAATTTAGTCACTTTGAAATCACAAAACTTGTGGCTGCTCACTCCAAAATTAAATTTGGCCGAAAATCCATGGAGCAACACTAAATCTTTCTCCGTGTGACCTATAGATCAGGGGTTCAAGCCGTGAAAGCAGCCACTAATGCTTGCATTAGGATAGACGGTCTACATCACACCCTTGTGGTGCGGCCTTCCCCGGATCTTGCGATGCTTTGTGCACGGGCCGCCCTTTTTTTAAAATCCATTAAATCTTTACCAAAAAGCCAGTAGGCATGCCAAATTAGCTAAAAATACCAATGTGGATTTCCAAAGCAACTAGAACCAAATATTTAGTTATTTACCCAGTCAAAAACTAAAAAAATAAAAACTACTCCAACCCGTTTTTAAACACAAACCCAGATACATTTTGGCTATAGAAGATGCCAAATTTAAGAGATAATGTTGCCTAGTGAGATTATTGATGATCTTGCCTTGCCTGCACGGAGCTGCTGGAATCTTTTTGAAAAAATTCAACTTCTGGACAAGATGATGTTTAAGCTTAGAGATTAAGGTAACAGATTTATTATATATTCATAATTTCAGCGTATGCTTGACTTGCTAGAAAACTACTGTAACTATAGGTTAAAGATGCAAAGTAGCTCGTTATATTATGTTAAAACCTAATCTCATATTCACCATTATTTAGCTGAGAATTTGATGCACTTACCTGTAAATGTTTGCAGAAATGGCGATATGAACGGATTAATGGAGAATTTGGCGGGGCAGAAAGACTATCCAATTTGGCATATTTTGCTCTAGTTCTTGTGTTTTATGTGTTTGATTTGATTTGATTGGCTACTCGAAAAGTCACGTAGTCAATTTATTTTTTAAGTATAGGGATTTTAAAATAATTTGTCAAGACATTCCATACACTTACGTGATACTAATTTTTTTAAGAAGTTTCAAAAAATAAAATTTTAAATAATTTAAAAATATTTTAACTTGAAATTTTCACTTTACTTTAAGTGACAAGTCTTTATTGTCACGCAATTATTATGACATGCTTAATATCATAACATCTTGTTTGGAGAGTTATTACCTATTGTATTGTATCGTATTATTATTTTACATACAATGTATGTTTTGATTGTTACTTAAATTTTATTGTATTGTATCGCTAAATCTGTCGTTACATAAAGATAAAAAGTGTCACTTTATGTGGAACGATTGATTTGGTATGATCGAGTCGTTTTTTTTTCCTCGTTTCGCCCTTCAAATAATCATATTTTTTCTTTTACACTATCTTTTTATATAATAATTCTACTTTGTACCTTACTTTTTCTTTATAATATTGCAAGTCTATTCTTTTTATTGTTGGTACATGACATCATGAAACGATGACAAATAATACAATCTATCCAAACATTATATATATCAAAATAATACATTACAATACAATACAATACAATATAATACAATACAATATGATACATGTCACACCTCCTTTTTCCGCGCCCGCGAGGGTTCGTGGGAGTTTTTCCAATTAAAGGACAATCGAAACGGGATTTATTTATGTATTTCAGAGTCGC